TCCCGCCCGCTGACATCACCGGCTAGCCCGTTCCCTCCAGCTGCAGAGCGCTTCAGTTTCTGTCTTTTTTTAAACTAAAATGGAGGCTGATTCCTTGCCGTGAGGAGCGCGCTGCCGTGCCCGCTGGAGCCTCGATGTTGACATGTAACAGAGCTGGCAGCAGGATGGTGGTTGACGCAGCCAGCTCCAATGGGCCGTTCCAGCCCGTGGCCCTCTTGCACATCCGAGGTGAGTTATTGTGCGTGTGCCAGGGAGTCGCGACCCTCTGAGGAGCTGACAAATGGCTTTTGTGGCGCTCGGCCGGGGGCAGCGGGGAGCCCTGTGTAGCCCGGGCCCTTTTGCCTAAAACCGGCGGAGATCCGAAACCGCCAGCTGCTAAATGCGTTGGGGGAAGGCTGAAGAATTCGTGGAGGCATCGCATGCATAGTTAAAAGCTGGTTTTACTGCTTTCTGCCGTAACCCTCCCATCCCCCTTCCAAGCTGTGCTGATGTCAAAGGATGTGAAGTCACTACCCCAGAAAGGTGCTGAGCGGGGGGAGGGAAGAGCCGAGTTCTCGCCATACAGTTCCTGGAGAAGAAGGGCAAGCGTTTGGTGTGCTCCGAAGCCTTTTTTGTCCAAATCATTGAGATAGAGCTTGCTCAAAACGCACTGCAGCTTGTGAAAGAACTGGGAGTGTGGTTGGGAAGGAAGGGGGGGGAAAAGGGAAGAGACGTGACATTTATTATGAAAATATCCTTTATGTATTCAGAAAGCATTTCCTAGAAGAGATGCGGTTCGGCTTCAACAAGCAGGCTCTTATGTGCTTATTGCTTTGTGCAGTTTTGAATGTCACATTTCTTCATAGAACGTGTTCTTTTGGGTTTATAGAATTAGTGCATTGCGAATCCCACGTTTTTATATCATTCACTGGGAAAATACATGTTGGTATGCATAATACTGAGTGTGTATCTTTTGTTCAGTATTTTTGCAGTTAGTAAGATTTTGTGTTGCTGTAGGGTTTTTTTTTGTGGTTTTTTTTAGCTGACTGTTAACAAACCGTAGCTTTTTTAATGTCTTCCTTAAAAGTTCTAAACCAAAACCACCTTGTGAAAGCAGAACATGTATTAGCTGGGATCAGTACACCTAGCACAATGGCATTTTGTATGCAAGAAACACAGCTGATACAGTTCTCAATTACCTTTGCTTCTTAGCTTTCACTGGTGTAGACTAGATGTTAGTACTGAAAAGTGCATTTTCTATTAATATTCCATACACTGAAAACATTTGGGGCTTTTTTAGAACTTTAAAAGCAAAATGTCCAGCAGTCTGCTTCTTTAAGCAGTAGCACTGGTCTTCAAGTATTAAGAAATCATGATTTCTCTTTACCTTTCTTTTAAAAGAGCCATATCCTTCTCTGTCTGAAGTGGGACTGGATGTATTCTAGAAGACTCTAATTTTGGTCTATGAGTGGGGGAAATGTGATATAATTCCCTGGAGTTAGAGTAGGGACAGTGCTTGTTGTCGAGGGGATTCAAATACGGCTGCCTGACCTGTAGACAGGCCGTCACCTTTCACTCTGCGCAGATCACCGTAATTCTCTGATGGGTGCTGCCTTTCGGAAGGAGAGAAGCACCATCTGTTACAGGTGCAAGTCGGGGAAACAAACCAAGGTTGGAATTAGAATGATGAAATGTTATAATGATGAACTTTAATAATCCTTTGCCTCAATACGATAACGAGGTTCTTGTCAGTGAATTTGTTATCCCTGTTGCTCCAATCAAATACGTAACTGTGAAAACAATGTATTTTTAAACTGTTCTGAAATTTAGTTTCCTAAAACCTGCATTTTTGGTGTACTGGATAATACAGTGGTAAAGTAGAGGTTGAGGGGTTTTGTGGTTTGGTTTGGTGTTTGATTTTTTTTTTTTTTTTTTTTTTCCTTTTTTAAATGAGTGATGACGGTGGACTTTCTTGTAAGCAATTAAGCAGTAACTAGGAGATTGGTTTGCATTTTTCAGGTGGTAAGAAAATGGATAGGTCTGTGATATTGTAGCCCAGAGGAGTTTCTTCATGCTGGGAGGGGAAAAGGATCTCTTCCATACATATATGTATACAGAAATTGCTTTGGTCTTTTTTTCTTTGTGTGTGTGTGTACCTCATCTCACTAGCTGCTCTGATGTTACTGGTACTCATCTGCCTCCAAAATGAAGCCTGTCAGAACAATGCAAGCAAAATTAATAGCACTAAAAATCAGCTGGTAACTGAACCCTAATGACAATGTTTACTGTTTGTCCCAATCCATGCTACTTTTACTTACATCATCTGTTGCAGTATAGGATTAAATTTCTAGTAGAAGTACTCCTCTTTGCCGCTGTAAGAGCTAAAGCTTCAGTGTCAAGGTGAGGGAACACAAGCCCTCAGTCGTTTCTAGTAGGTCTAGTTTGTTGTAATAGAGAAGATACGGCTGTATCACCAATTTCATATCATCTTTAATGTTTTGAGATGGTGTATTTATTTTACCTTTATGAAGTAGCTGCTATATTTGGCCTTAATCTTAGTTTTAGAAAAAAAACTGAAGCTTTGTGGACTATGCTGTCAAGACTTACTTGAAAATAAAAATTGCAATCTTGCTTTTAAAGTTAATTCTAAGGCACTTTCTGTGCCTGGATCATATGGAATATGTAATGTTTGCAGAATAAGAAGGAAATCTGATATAGCATGGGAGGGGAGCTTGTTCCCCTTCCTCCTCCACCTCCTGAACTGTAGACGGCTTTATTGTCTGGGCTACTTACAGCTTTAGCAAAACATTGCAGTTGGAAAAATAGATGCAGGTGTTTTTTAAAAATGATGTTATGAGTCTTGTGAGTAGGAAATAAAGGTGTCAAAATTTTATGGACTGCTGTTGCTGTCACTGGTATTTGCAGCGTCACCAGTGAGGAGTGGTAGGTATTTGTAGGATAGGAGGTGTCAGGGCCCTAGATACCTTGTTCCTCAGCAGTTCTTTCAGCTGTCAGTGCTCAAAGTTAGCTTGGATATGGTGCAGCCGTGTAACCTTGAGTCAGACTGCTGTGAGAAGAGCTGTGAGAAGTCTTGTCAGGGTTCCCCTTTCACTCAGGAGTTGTCTTTAAGCTGATGTCCTTGGCTTTGGTCATTGCCTCAGCTCGGTTGTGGCTTTGTGGTTGTCCGGCCACGTACCTGATCTGGATGCAAATGTGTTGACTGCCTGGCTTGGCATGCTACTTCATTGTGGACTTGTCCAGCAACCAGTGGGCTGTTGGCTGACCCTGGTCACTGTCAGTACACCCGCTCTCCTTTCCTCATTCAGGTGCTGTGAGACTGCCCTTGGTTACAACCATAGACTGTAGGCAGATGAGTTCAAGACCAGTGTGTAGAAATCGGGTCTGCAGAAGATGACTTTGGACCTGTTGTTGGAAAATACCGAGCACCAAAAGAGCCTAATCCACACTGAATGCGAGTAGCGCGGAGCCATTACTGTGTGATATTTCTTTGTGCTGAGAGCACTGGCTCAGTCAGAGCGTTTGGTCTGCTGGAGTAGTGAGCCCTTCGTCGTTCCACCCACAACAGGCTTTCCAGGAGATCTGAGCTATGCTGCTGCTGCGTTGACCTTTCCAGAGTACAAAGATGGTGCATAATGGTCATCTGAGCTACTTGTCACTGGTTATCAGGGTGAACTGAAAACTTACCTTGTGTTGGAATGACCCAGAGCTTCCAAGAAAAACTGCAGTGTCAGTCTGAGCAGCCATTATGGCCATGGAATAACCACTGTGGTTTGCAATCCTGGGTAGAGGCTTGAGCTTGTAGCTGACTGTGAAACAATGGTGTGGCCAGAGCACCTTGTCGGAGGGTATCTGCGTGGAGAGCTCCTTTAGGGTCTTTGTGCGTAGACAGGTCACTAGCTGTGAAGATGACATTAGGACAGCGCAGAGAAGAGGGTTATTAGGTGTTACGAATTTAGAATTTTTACAGCAAAGAGGGAAGCGGAGCCCTGAGTGTTGTTTTCAGGATACATCTTTCTCCTTCTGGAGCCCTTCTGGCAGCTGAACCCCTAGGGTGATGGAAGTGCACTCAAGTCTGTAACAGGAGGATCCACATAAATGAGATGAGGCCTGGGGGAAGGAATTGGGACCTTTGGATTGCTGTTCCAGCACTTCAAGCACAGAAAGAAGCTGTAAAAGCAGCATGGAATAGAACAAACAGTAAATGTTTGTTGCTAGTTCATACTTACTGTTTTGAGTTGTCTCGGTGAAAACTGCAGCTGTAGTACAGAGTGCTGTTGCAGGTAGAAAATAATTGTAATTCATTCTGTAGGCAGATTACAAATGTTTATTCATTAGGGGGGACACACATTGCTTATTAGTAATACAGTGCAATGCTGTTAAGAAAAATCTCTTAATACTGTTTTACCAGTAATGTAGAAGTAGCCTAAATGCCAGTGTTTTTATGAACTTAAGACACAGATATTTGAATAAAATACAGATAAAACTCTGCTCTGATCTGCAGTGGCAGAATTAGCAGAATCTGGATGTTGCTTTAGTGGCTTAGCGGCTGACTGGCTGCAGTTGGTAATGTCTGTTCATGCTTTTCAAAATTTATTTTCAAGATGTTTTGCAAGACATACTGAAAGTTGTGTGGAAAGGAGGGTGAGAACACTCTGATACTGTGTCAACTCGAACTGATGCTTCCTGTAGGCCATAACCTGTTTCAAGTATCTCATTGTCCATCCTTCTGCTCTGCCTTCCAGAGCAGCAAACTTCTTTTTCACAGATTCAACTTTGTCGTTATTTAAGTTACTTCAGGTTTTTTGACAGATGCTTTGGCTGTTTTTTCAAATAAGCTGTAGGTGATGTTAACTTTGTCCATTATTTCAGTGTGCTTCTCGTATGTATTAATCTTGAGTAAGGGATCATGGAAGGTAGTTCATATTCCAACTTGACATAGTGCTTTTCTACATGGCTAAAATGTCAATGGTAATGTTTTTGTGATGTAAATATCTGAGTATTTAGATACAAATTTGCATTATTGTCAAAGCCAAATGAAAGAAAGGTTGGGTACTAAACTAGCATCAAGCACCTCTCAGTGGTGTTTTCCCTGAGCTTGGTTCACCTGTGATCTGGAGCTGAAACATTACCTGGTCAGGATGAACTGCTGTCAGGTTCTTGAAGCAACCAAGTGCTATCTAGCTATTGCAAGGGGCATTTCCACTTCCTTTATACTTTCATACTTGGCA